CCTAAAATTCTGTTTTCACTTTGTCATTATGGGGTACTGAGTATAGATTAATGAGGGAAAAAATGAATTTGAACGATTGTAGTATCAGGCTGCAACATAACAAAATTGAAAAAAGTGAAAGGGGTCTGAATACTTTCTGAATGCACCGTATATGCCTATTTTTCCTAATGAATAGAACAGTCTTACTATATGAAATAGTGCTGATATGACACACCAAAATAACACATTGTTTTCTATCAACTTTGACAGGAAGGTTGCTAGTGAATAGTGCTGTGTGAAGATAAAAACTTTTTCTCTAGATATAATTGTTGAATAATTGCCCAAATATATTGATGATTTATTTGAACAAATATATATGCACCTAGTTCTTTTTTAAGTTAAGGATGAGGCAAGTGCGTATTACATTAGATTTGGTGCAATACATTCTGTTCACTTAAAAAAAAAATTCAGTTAGAAATGAAGCAGGGTACAAGAATCACAGTGCATTTAATTACACCATATAGTCTCTGCATTTTTGACTTACTAAAATAATTTTCTGGTGTCTTCCAATGCAAATTTGGTTTAAAATAAGGCAAAATGTAGAAACAGTATACTGTGGCAAGTAATACGGTGTAGTATGCTTGTTTCAATTACAGATAGTAGAAGGTACCGATTAGCATCTTGTGGCATGAATGACTCAGATGCTTCCGCTCTGCTGAGAACAATTTATCTGAACATAACATGAGACATAAGAGGAAATCCATTGAAGCTGGTATTTGACTACAAAAGTACTTTAGTGTCTGTTTTTGAAGATGCTTTCCTTTCTTCAGTGCTGTATTTATATGTAAATGTGAAGAACAAAACTCTTTATATAATGTCATAGCTGACATATCAAAGAATTGATTATAAAGTTCTAATTCTGTATAACTGCTTCTGTAATTTCAAACAGGAGAGTATATGGGAATAGACAATATGTGGTACAAGTCTGACTTGAAATCTAAGCCTTCAGTATATTGGATCTCTTTCTCACACAATATAGTTTCCTCTTGATTATACTGGTTCTGTGAACCACTTTTAAAATTTATGTATTAAAATGCTTAACCTCTGTTTCTATTGATTTATTTCTCAAGTCTAGATTTCTATCTTAGGTTTTATTTCATCTTCAGTAATTTCTTTTTATTGATAATTTTAATTAATAAATAATATACATTTGAACATCTTTGCACTTGTCACAAACATTTAAGGGTCTTAATAAAATGACAAGTTTTTAAAAGCCCTAAAATTTAACATTAGCTTTATGATACACAACCATTGTTTTGGTAATCCTTTACAAGTATATGGAACAAGTTTCTTTGACCTTGCTTTAATAGTTAACTCTTGGAGAAAATTCAATATTTGCTTAAGCTGAGTCATCAATAAAGACTTAAACATTAGGACTGAGAAAGAAAATAATTATATTCTTAATGCTATAAGCAATACAGGTAGTCCTCATAATTGGGACTGGAATTTCCTTTGCTAAGCAAAGCATCATGTGACCATGCCACTTAGTGATGGCAGTCCTGGTAGCGGTCTTTAGGCAAGGGCCTCACATGACTGCAACTTGCAACCTCCTGCTGGCTTACCCACTGACTTTGTCAGAAGCCAGCTGAGAAGGCTGCAAATGGCAGTCAGCCAGTCTCCTGTCAGCTCCCACCTGAATCCAAGCCATTCCCAGCTTGGTCTCTCCCAGCCCCGAGCCTTTGTTCTTCCAAGGCAAGGCAAGGGACACTTTCAGAGGAACACTGAGCCAGAAGAGGCCGACTCGCTGCTCTGCTTCAACAATCCCATCTCTGTCCTTTTCCCCACCCCGCACAGCATGGCTGAGATGAAGCTGTTGCTATATTCTGCTGCCCCCTGCTGACCTTCATCTTTACTTCCCCTCCCCTCTGCTGGGAGGGGGGGTTGATGTCAGCCAGCCAGCCATGAGCCCCACAGTGCAAGGGCTGTGTTGGCACTGGGCCAGAGCCAGCAGCGAGGGGTGGAGCAGTGGTGGAATACAGCAGCATCTTCATCTCAGCCATGCTGTGTGGGGTGGCCAAAATGTCAGAGTTGAGCCCCTATGCTGTGGGGCTTGAGGCCAGCCAGCATCGGCAGACAGAGGGAAGGGGAGGGGAGGTGATAAAGGATAGCTGGTGGGCAGGGGTAATGGAATACAGTGTCTTCATCCTGGTCATGGTGTGCAGGGCAGCCAAAAGGGTGGGGGGGGGGAGATAGGTGGGGAGGCAGTTGAAGCAGAGGCAGTTTGTGCGGGGCAGGAGAATGTGACGACAGGATGCTGCAATGATAGTAAATGCAGGCTGGTCGCCAAGCTCCCAAATTTTGATCACGTGACCATGAGGACACTGTGACAGTCATAAGTGTAAGGGCCGGTTGTGAGTCCATTTTTTCAGCACTGCCATAACGTTAAACAATCTCTGAATGGTCATAACCCAAGCTCTACCTGTAATGCTTTTAAAAAACTCCTTTATTTCCTTGTAAAAGAAACCTCAAAACCGTGTTTCAGAAGCTTCATGTAATCTTATTACATCAGTATTTCTTATTTTGCCTACTTAGAAAATGTTTCCACATTCAGCCCAATATACTTGCAATATAGTTTTTTATCATTAGCAATTCAAAATTATTGCACAAGGAACACCTTAATTATGCAGAACTTCATGGTTTCAAGTAATCTGAAGATATGGTCAGAAGTCTTTTTTAATTTCCATTGAAAACATCTCCATTCCACTTAGACATTTTTTTTACTTCCTCTTCAGAGATAGAGGATTTTTTTGTATTTGGAATTTGGAATCTGTCCTCGTGATTTCAGTCGTCTGACTGCTTCGCGCAAGTGCTTGGGTTGCAGAGGTGGTGATTCTCCCCACTTCTCACATACATCTAATGCTGTACAAAACAAAAGCAAACCTTTTATTGCCAACTCACTATATTAGAGCTGCGCAGATGTGGTACCAAAATCAACCTTATTTCTACATGCGTTTTAGTAGAAGCAGTTACCTCATATCTGCAGTATCATTACTATTTTTATATCCTGCCTATTTTGTGCAACTCAGTGTGGCATACATAATGCTTCTGCCTCCTATTTGCTTCACAACCACCATCCTGTGAGGTGGCTGGGCTGAGAGAGAGTGACTGACCCAAAGTCACCCAGCCAACTTAAGTGCCTAAGGGAGGACTAGAACCCAGTTTCTAGTCCAGCACCTTAACCACTATACCAAACTAGCCTTTTGATGTTCCAAACACTTCTAGCAGAAAGCCTGTGAAAACTGGCAAAAGTAGTTGTCTCTCTTTCACAGCATACTCCATATCTACATACATATCTTTGTAAAGTAGTAGGGGAAATGTGTTCTGTTTGTAAGCAGTGGGTGGAAAATAAGTAAAAGCAATTACATGCATACTATACTATTGCTATTACATAAGAAGAAAATTATCTGAACACTAATTTTATTCATTTATACTTAAGTGTTCCGTTTGCCAACTAAAAAAACAAGCACATACACAGCTGGTAATATAGATGACTACAGGTATGTTGTACAAATCTGCATTTCTACTTTTTCAAGCATGTGCTTTTATAACTACATATATTGGCTTGGTTTAATAATCTTGTTTCTCTTAAAAATACTGACCTGTTATGCATTAAGTAGCAATATACATACTATGCAGAAGAATAATATTTAGGAGTAAAATACTACACAAAGTGGGGATGTGCAAAATTTGATGTTCTGGTCTTCTGACATCAATATAGCCAGATCACAGCTGGAGTACAACATCTGGAATTTTAAATAGTTGTATGGTATGTTTTTACCATACAACTACTTAAAAGATGGATTACTAAAAGCTAAATAAAATACATACTTGAAAGAATAGCTATATTGTAGTAATTAGCAAGTTATGTCTTCAATTAATGGAAGCTACAGACAATTAAGAACTAGATTATTCTTATACTTACCCTCTTCAACTACTTCTCCAACAAAGACTTTAGAAATTCCTGACATGGCAATAACAACGTTCTGAGATACAGAGGTTCCAGTAATTGACTGGATCAGCTGAGGAAGGAGCAGAGGCAATTCCAGAGTACCCAAATTTTTAGATACTTTTTTACTTCCAATCCTGAATGCTACTATGTATAACAGCATTAGCACAGAGGTGGGCAACTTTCCCAGGATTATGAGGTGCAACTCATTCCCCTTGCTAGCTGGAAATGACAGGTAACATAACCCCATGGATGGTGAAATCTCTGGAAGGGATGACACTTTTTAATGTTTTCTGGGGTTTGAGAGTGAGAATGGGAACAGGAAGCATCTTGGAAGCAAACCATTCCCACTTAAGTCCTTAAACCCCACTAACTCCCTCACAACCCAAAATTGTACCACTGAAATTGAGGGCTTTAAGAACAGAAGTAGAAAAAGCCTTCCCAATTCCCACTTTACCTTTTAAAAGGAAAGCCCAAAATTTCATTTCCAAAAGTGGACTTGTTTGTCAACCAATTGCAACAGTTCAAACTTGAGGTACTAGAGGGCTGCAGAGAGAATCCTGGGGACATATGTGGCTTTCCCACCTCAGTATCATTAGCAGAATTTTATGGTAAACTGACACTGAGATAAGACTTCTGTCTATTCATGCATGATAAGATATATCAACAAATCAATCTTACCCGTTTAATAGCAGCCTTAGGGAAGGCTGATCGTCGATACATCTCGTATCGATTTAGCTGTTCTTCAGAAAAAGAGGAAACCAGGATTCTGTGTAAACAATAATAACAGCATTCATTTAGAATTACGAAGCGCAGAAAGCTAGTGAGACGGTATAACATTCCATTGATAAACACTTGATGAGATCTAGCATTTTCTTCCAGTTGTATTTCCTGAACAAAATTTTGCTCCAATCATTGTAGTCAAAGAAGGGTGACTTTGGCCTATTTTTCCTAGCCCAGGGACCTTCCAGTACAACTTCCCACATTGTCCTGAAGGTGCCTTGCACAGAAACCATTGAGTTTCAGGGAGAAGTAGAAAGAAAAAAAAAAGCCAACATATCTCCTATTGCAGTGTTTCTTAAACGTTTTGTTCTCAAGAACCCTTCCCACTTTTAAAAATTATGGAGGACCCCAAAAGAACTTTCCTTGTAGGGGTTATATTTATCAATATTTACCATATTAAAAATTAAAATTGACGCATTTGTAGAATAATTATTGGAACATGTAAAAATAATAATAGGTAGTCTTCAAATTATGATGGCAATTCGGACTGGAATTCCGTTGCTAAGCACTGCGGTTGTAAAGCACAACCATATTGCTTAGCGACAGCAATCCCTGCAGTCCCAGTTGCTGTCGTTAACCAAATCCCATAGTCGTTGGGCGAGGCAACTTCCTGCCAGCTTCCCACAACCAAATCAGTGGGGAAGCTGGCAGGAAGTTGCAAATCCTAGGTGGCTTACAAGCAGGCCAGTAGGCAGGTAAGTGGCTGCTGCCAGCTGGGGGAGGGCATGAGCGGGTGCCCGAGGGAGGCCTGGTAAGGCTCTGGGAGGGTGCACAAGGGAGGCGTGGTGAGGCCCAGGGAGGGTACAAGGAGGTGCATGATGGAGATGAGGGAGGCATGGCGAGAGTGCACAGAGGTTCAAAGGCAGCGCAGTGAGGGTTGGGGAGGGCGTACAAGGGTGCAGGGGGGGCAAGGGTGAGGGAGGGTGTGCAGGGGTGCAAGGGAGGCATGGGGGGTTGCATGGGGGTGTGAGGGAGGTGCAGCGAGGGTCAGGGAGGGTGTGGAGGGTGCACAAGAGTGGCACATTGAGGATGGGTGAGGATACATGGAGGGGCAAGGTTTTGGGAGGGTGTGCAGGGGGCGCTGGGATGGCCAGAACTCCAAGGACCATTTGTAACCACCATTCATTCAGCGCCATCATAACTTCGAAGGCCGCTGAACGAATGGTTCTAAGTCAAGGACTACCTGTATTAAACTCATTAGATATTAACATAAATAAAATATATTTCATGAAAAAACCCTATTTTTTTTACAAATAAAAAATATTAAGAGTGACATTGTTTTAAATTTTTGCAAATATCCTCAATATCTGGCAAATACTGTTGATTTCAGATCCCTAAGAGGGTCTTGGGCACCCCCAGGGGTCCTCAGACCACACTTTAGGAAACAGTGTCCTACTGTACTAGTAGGATTCTTTTGCTGGTTCACTTTGCAAACCTTTTCTTTTTGGAAAGGGGAAATGCACTTATTCAACTTAACAAAAAGAGTTCAAAGAGGAAAGTACAGCATCATGCTATTTGATAATTGCCTACAAGTATTCATTTGTTACAAACATAGCTTACTTCTGAGAAAAAATGCATACCACCAGACTGAATGTTCCCCTAAACAGTTTCCATAAAGTGTGCATCAGACCACAGTCTTAATTTTAGGAATTCCCTGAAATTCCAGAATTGGACAGAAAAAGCAAGGATTTGGCTTCCTAAATACACAGCAAGATATAGCTTTTCTCTACTTGTTTAGCATTAACAGAAGCATGTAGATGGAAAAATACTCACTGCATTTTTTGAATCTCATCTTCATCAACTTTATGTTTTTTTTCTTTTCTCTCCTTCATCTCTATTTTTATTTTCTTGGCTGCACTAGACTGTGATGTAGAGTCCTCCAACTCTCCTGGGACCAATTCACATGCTTCCTTGCATTTAATCTAGAAATAAAATTGATTACAACTCAGTTATAGTTATAAAAAGATAAACCTTTCCCTGAGTCAAGCTCAACTCCTAGTTATTTCATGTTCATGCCCATGGCAGCAAAACAAAAGTGGTTTGCCACTGCCTTCTTCCAGGATGCTTTTTTTTTTTACTTTTAAGCATCCAATAATTGTACTTATAAATTATAGCTGTTGAATACAAGGTTTTAAAATCTTTCCGTCTTAATACCATATGCACAATACATAACACAAACAAAAGGTTTGCACATTAATAAAGGTTTTAAATATTTAACTATTATTCCTACCCTCTTTAATGATGATAGTTTATATATTTTGTGCTCCTTCTACACATATGCTTACCAATTATAATTCAAATAATGAGGAGGAGGGGGAGTGAAAAAAAAATCTGATGAAAATAAATCTCTGTACACAGTACTTGTTTTTATGCCAGAATCTTAAGAGGAAATGTGGTGGCTAGACATAAATAAAATGAATACTCAGCATCACTTTTCACGTTTTAGTCTCTTTCTTTACATGTTACTGAAAAGTCTTTAGCTGATAGTTCACATATTTTTACAGTGCCATGCTTTGCGTTAGTATTTTTTAATCATAGGTCAATTAAATCTTTCTTCAAAAGAAAAACGGGTAATCAATGTGAAATGTAACTCAAAACACAAGCAGCAACATTTAATATTTAGGCGTGCAGGATAAGGATTGCAAAGAATGCTCTAATATTTTGTATTCACTGTTTACAAGAATCCAAACAAGGAAATTAGTTTCCGGGATCTAAAAGACTGCGTGGATATACACGCAATAGTCTCAAAAGCAAACAAAAGTCGCCAGAAAACAGAGGCTATCCTAGCTAAATACGGAATTCCAAGGAAAGAGCAGGCGAGGAAAATATGTTACTTTGGGGCAGACGAGGCAGCAATCCATCAACCCTGAAGCAAGACGAGAAGAGCGGCAGGGAAAGCGAAATCCCGTTTCTGCGAAAAAGAAATTACGTTGTGAGCTTTTTCCCTTCTCACCTCCACAACCTGTACCTCCTCTTTGATATCGGCTGGTTCTTTCTCCTGTCGTTCCGCCACTTCTATAGTGACGACAGAAGACTCAACCGAAGATGGGGAAGACACAACGGGCAGAAGACCATTCTCTTTACCAGACTCCGCAGCCTCAGCCATAGTACGCAGAAGAAACAGCGCGTGTCGCGCCTTGATGACGTAATCAGCACGGCGCTGGACACCTTGTTTCCATGAGAACGCATCACCACCGCCCCCATAGGCGAAACTAGTAAGAGGGAGTGTTACTGCTACCAGTAAAGGTGAATATACGTAGCTAAGGGTTGAACTGTAGGGTCCTTGTTTGACTGCAGACATTTCCGTGCATTGTGCACTAATGATGTTACCTAGTCGGATAATGAAACGTCTGCAATCAAACAAGCTCAGATAGCACCAAGGACTACAGTGTTACTGCTGCTGTCGGAACGAAGCAGAGCAGCTTATTGCACGTGGGGCCGGACTCGTGGATCCCACTAGATTCAGTAGCAATATAACCAACAGAACAGTGCAAATTTGAGCCTACCTTTTGTTGCTTCAGTACCCAGCAGCAACACACCAAACAGAATGAAAGGTAAACTGGGACAAGTAATTCCAAAATTACGAGTGCAAAGTATGTATGTAAGTTGGGATAAAGACCCGTGCAATGCACAATACCCAATTCACACAATTCACTAAGCAGTGATGCGATTATATGGTGGGATTTGGGGTTAGCGTTTGTGTGAACCCCACCAAGTCTGATTTATTCAGTAAAACAATGGCGAACCCATTAATAAAGCAGTCCCCTGAACCCATGTTTTACTGTTTCCTCAAAAAGCTATGAGCAAAGGGTAAACTAAGGCAAGTGACTTTGTTAAAAAAAAGGGATCTAAAGTAAATTGAAATATCAGAATAAAAAAATTGTGAACAAAAAGAATTATGTACTGAGGCCCTTAGGATGTTCATGCTGCATAATTGTTCCTGTACTTTTAAATCACTGCTTGAAAAAATAAATAAATAAAAAACGGAGGAAATTAAAAATAGGAAGAAAAAGTTATTACAATAAGTGAGAAGTCCATGTAATTGTTATACATAATGTACTTCTTACAAGTCCCAGATTCCCAGCTTTAAAATGAAAAACTGCATTCATTTTTTTTAAACAGGCATCTGCCCATGATTTAATCTGTCCATGGTTGAATACTTAAGGGTTCCTCAACCCTCTTTTCCTAGACTGCTTCCCTCTTTACAGGCTAGAATAGCACCAGTTTTCCAAATATAAGACTTCAAAATAATCTTCACTGATCCAAACAGAGGTTGCTTAAAGCTTTATTACTGCTAGGGAGAAAAAGTCTAACTCTTTTCTTATCAACCCATACCATTCTAGCTGTGTCTGCATGATATACTTACCCACAACTCCACGTCTGACAAACCACAATGGCTAAGCTAAAACCAAACAAGACACACTGGGTTAATGCACATATCCTGCTTGCTGTGGCACAAAGATGTTCCATTAAGTGGAGAGGACATGTCCTCAAAATGTCAGCTCCATCTCACTGCTGACCCACTGCTGAGGCAGCCTGAAGTCAGGTTTATGTGTTCCAGTGTGAAAATAGTTTCTCTCTTATCTTGACAATCAAGTGTGCCTGGAGGAGGAACCTTAGGTTGATGTGGCCAGGTTCAGCGATCTGATGGCTTCAATTGACCTGACAGGTCTGCTGTGAAACTACCCCCTCCTGTCTGTTTGCTAGGCACTGTGCCTGTATGCTATTTAGCTGTGGCTACAAGAGAGAACAGACATTACACTACTGGTCTCCTGGAAGAGAGATATCAACATTACAATATTGAGAAATATCCTGCACTACATCTTCCCATTCCCATTTTTAACAAAAATAACCCCCCAAAAGGTCCAGAGGACTTGCATAGCACCCTCCCTCCCCCAACATGCACAAGGGCTTAGTTTCATTGACTAACAGTGCACTGTCTTGAAACTTGAATTGGGAAAATCAATCTCTTTTAGGAGGTAAGAGATCGATACTTCTACAGCTTGAACATTTAAAAAAGATGTGATATGTAGCTCTGCATGTCAACAACCTCGATATGTCCATTGGTAAACAAAAAGAACTCTAGAATGTATTTCTAATCAGCTCTTCTGATCACTCAGGCAGTTTTTTGGTGAGGAGGCTGCTGCTTGACATGGTTATTGATCTTCGGTTTCCCTGACAGAACTATTTATCTCCTAGTAAGTCAATAATTCTAAAAAAATAATTTCATAGATGTTGCCATCTAGAAGTTTTCCAAATTAATGCAGGTTAGAATTCTGATTTCAAGCTGCAGTAATCTGGCTGAGCGTTAGATAGCAGCATCTATGAAAACTTTTCATAAAACTAACACACACTTCAATTATTTCTCACTGTGACAGGAATATTGATCTCATAAGGTTGATAATCTTGTGGTGAAAACTTTTTAAAAAATTGGTTGGACAGAATCCCCAGAGTGTACAAGCACTGCATCAATGCATGTCCTATACAGCCATTGGTGACACTTTCTCCTGGGGTTGGTGACATTGGACATGACTGTACTTTCAGCTGGGGAAAACTACAACCTCTGCCATTATAGTATTGAGTGATGGAGCTATATAGACAGCAGTAGCACATGGCCCTGTCCTAGACATGCATTAAGGGCACATTCAGAGAACACTCTGAAATGGGAGGAAAGCACTGCAAAGCTACTGTGATAAACCTATTATGTCTTAGCCTGTTGTGTGAATCAGCCCATCATATTAAGCAGTAATATGGTTTGTTTTGGCTTTAAAGATATGGGTATAGTTTATCTCCAGGCAAAAGCTGTTTTACATGTAATCGGTATCTAGTGGTGATTTCTTACTAAGTATTGATGACATGCAAACAAAGTAAATAATTTACTGAGTCCCTGCTTCCCGATCACTATGTTAGTTTGACATACCCATATTTATCTTAATTGAATTAATCCAATTTTCTGCATTCACATGACATACTGAACCTTTTAACCAACCACAATGACTGAGTTTGACTAGGTTGGGTTTAGCATATCTTGCAAGCATGGCAAATCTCTGTTACTGGTGAAAATAGCTGGGTAGAAATAAAGTTTTGAACAGACCTGCCTGCTGTCTCCTCCTTCCTTCCATCCATTTGTGGCTAAAGCACTTTTAGCACAATATCTTCAAGGTCAATTTCAACCACCCAAATTTGTCCTAATCAAAATAATACTGAAAGGATTACAGTCTTTAAATAGTGTTCTAATTTATCAATAACACATCCAAGTTTTGGAGCATCAATTTTAAGTGGGTATTCTGGCATTTTCTGTTTTGTCTTTCACACCATTCAACTGATTTTCCAACTTTTACACCACTTTTTTTATCCCCCAACTCTGCTTTTGTACTCATGAGTTTGAAGTTCTGCTGGTCAATTTTTTTTTTTTTAGATTTTTTATCCCACCTTTCTTATTTTTATAAATAACTCAAGGCAGCAAACATACCTAATACTCCTTCCTCCTCCTATTTTCCCCA